TGGATTTTGGTTTGTAACTTGAATCCCGCTCTACCCGAGACTTGAGAAGAGAAGGAATTCCATCAACTGGGGATGAGACTCATAAGGGAATGCTCTTCTAACCATACTAGTTCAAAGCGAAAAGGTTTTGGCCCCCTACAAATTGCCTGTGTATCAAGGAGAATGGGACAGTGATCCGAGGTGGGTTTAGGCAGAGTGAGTGCGTGTGAATCAGGAAAAGCATCTTCCCAATCCAGGGAAAGAAGGAAGCGATCCAGTTTAGCCAGGGAAGGCTGAGCGGAATGGTTGGACCAGGTAAAGGCATTCCCTTGAATAGGAATGTTTAAAAGTTATTGTCTAGAAATGAAGTCGGAGAAATCCAACATTCCCTGGGAAATATTGGTGTTGAGGTTTCTCTCATGGGACCATCGGGTGATGTTGAAATCACTGCCCAGGAACCACGCAGGGTGAGGTAAGGCTGCTACGAAGTTCAATTCAGACTAGAGACGGGGGCGAAGCGAAGCTGAATTAGGTCCATAAATGGCGGAGAATTTAAGTAGTGAACCATCTGTTGTCCTGGAGAGAAGGACGGTGATCGAGAAATCTCCTATGTGGGATGAGAGGAGATTAAAATCAGTTGGGTTCTAAACTACCCAAATACCGTCAGAAGCCCCTGTCGCCGGTAGTGATTCCCATTGACACAGCCTTTTGCCCCACACACTGCGAATGGATTGCAGGGTAGGCTCCGACTGTTTCGTCTTTGTCAGGGCAAGGATCAATGGGGAGAATTTTACTGAAAAGTCTCTCACCGAGTCCCTTTTGGACTTCTGTCCCAACGCTCTAATGTTCCAAGAGAGTATTTTCATTGGTTAAGGGGAGGAGCAGGGGTGGAGGCAGTCCTGGGCGATCGCTTAAGAGTGGGGGAGGTTGGGGTGGTGTTGGAAAGAGGGTTGACTGCAGTTGCATGTTTGTCGTAATTAATAAAAGAAAGGAGGTTCAACAATTCTTGTTGTCCTTTGAAATTCACCTTGAACCTGCTTTGGGCATCCGTCAGCAAGAACTGATGCGCTTGGCCTTCAGGTCCATGGTGTTAGCCCATTACCTTGTAGATCTCCTTCATCCTGTTAGGTTCTCGGTTGTTATCTTCTCCACCAGCTCTCTCTAGATCGCCATTTGCCGAATGGAAGGAGGAGGGTGCAGGGGGGAGTGGCTCAGGAGCTACTGAAGAAGGTTATGTGAAGTGGGTGGACAAGACATGGGGAACAGGGGGATAAAGGTCAAACGGCAGGGAACGATTGCTGTGGTCAAACAATTGGGTAGCGGGATACTCAGAGATTGGGGTACCCTGGAAGGATGCAAAAGCAGGTGGTGAAACAAGAGGGGGCCCAGGGGAGGTCAGGTGGTATGGGGGCCAAGTGTGTGAAGGGGCAAGGAGCCCGGACGGGAATGGGGTTGATCGGCAATGATACGGGGGAGTGTAGAAGGATAAATAGTGATGACGGTACGGTTGGGGATAAAGGTTGAAAAGCGCAGTAGGAGAGGTCTGGTAGGGGAAGAGGATAGTCGTTATCCTGTCGAGTGGAATAAGGAGAGAGGGCTGAGGAAAAAAGGGGCCGAGAAGATTAGAGAGAAAAGCTGGGTCAAGGGGAGATGGGTGGAGGGAGTGCACGGTGATGATTCCAAATGGAAGAAGGGAAGTGTCCAGTTCCATCGGCAGCAAAGAGGCAAACAGCAAAGGGTCACCGTACGAGTGGAAGAAGAGGGGCAAGAACGTCAAGGATAAAATAGAGGGGGACCCCAAGGTGCTAAGAGGGCAAAGTGGACCTTCACGAGGGGAAAGGATAAAAGGAGGGACGACGGTAGGTGTAGCGACAGGAGGTGACTGCTGCGAGAGGCCAGGTGGCAAAGAAAGGGGTGGGAGGGCACCTTGGGCAGTGTGAGGAGCATCATCCGAGGGACTTGGGCTGCTGTCGAAGCGATGGAAGACGGTGGAGGGGTGGCAGCTGTCTCCTCATGAAGGCCTGGGACACGCGGGGAGTCAGGCATATGCCGCATAGCCAGAGAATCAGGCTTCAGGACGCCAGGTGTAAAGTCGTCCGTTGAGGTCCTCGACGTAGGCATAGGGTCAACTATCGTGGCCAGATCCAAAAGCCCGACCGAGGAAGACAGGTCCTTTAATAAGCTCGACGGCCCAAGAGAGGATTGGTAATCTATGTCCACTACAACCTCCTTATCGGGTCAATGGGTCGAGGAAGCTGAGAGGCCCAAGGGTCAGTGACAGATATCTCCAACCCCACCGCCATCTGGGATTGGTCCTATGAGGGTGGACCCCAAGCAAGCCAGCGGTGTCGACTTACTAACTCCACCATCTCCAAAGGGCGTTGGGAGAATGCCACGTGGTATCCAAGGGGAGTTTGGTGACGAGCCAGAATGCATGGCCGATTGTCGGGTCAGGAGGTTGGCCATGGAGGTTTTGGCGGTGGCATCGCTTGGCTCTGCCGGATTTCTTGGAAACATAGAACCAAGAATGGGGAGAGGAAGCCTTTGGCAACGAGTGCGGACGGCTATCGATCAGGTTATCCGAGGGGGGGGGGGGGGAAGCCCCAGACCAAGACAAAGATATTGGATAGAACATGTTTTCCACTTCTATCCACACGCATGGTGGAATACTTTTAGGGTCCAGGACCTCCACAAGGAGCTGAATGGAGCCAAGAGGTAGTGTTTCCAAAGATTTTCAGTGAATTGAAATCAAACTGCCACAAGCCTCTGCTATTCTCCCAAAAGTTGCAGGAGACCAGGCATGGAGTGGCAAATGATGAAGCGTAAGCCAGATTTTTTGCTTTCTAAAAGATCCTTCCTGGGGAGACCAAGCACGAAGGCGCAGAGTTGCCCCTTTGAAAATCGTAGAGTTGGAGTCCTGCAACACTTGGTAGGCATGAGCTTGTGATGAAAACGTGAATAGGTAGTCTCTGCCTGAGAGGCACCTAGCCGAAATATTGGTGTCCTTCCAAATATTTAGTGCCCTTTTTTCTATTCCTCTGAAATCATCACGAGCAGGGCGGAATGTGCCTACCAATGATGACTGGAACTTAGCTTTAAGCAAAGAGGACACTTCAGGAGGGATGGACACGAAGAAGGGACAGAATGGGGGATGGCTGTTGGGAAGAGAGGGAGTCTCCTTAGGACAAACCGAAGGGCTGCAAGAGGAAGGGAAGGCGAAGAGCGGGCAACAACTTGCGAGAAAGACACAGGAGGCTCAGGTTCTGCGGTTGGTGACACTCTTTGTGGGGTGTCGAAAGTTAGTGTCTGCACATTCTTAGGAGATTCTTGAGGGTATAGGTCGTAATGCAATTCCAATTAAAAGGAGTAGCCGAAAACCGAAAAGGGGGGTGCTTGGAGAGAAAAGGTGCTGGAGGTGAAGGACGAGCAGGTGCAGGATGTGGAGGTGGAGGAAGATGACGTCTCCTCCTCATTGGATTTTTGGATCTTCCACTAAAGGCCATTACTGTTTCAGCAACATAAATTGAAAAATGAAGAAGAAATGTGTGTATGAAATTCAAAGAAAAATTCGAAAATGATGGTTCAACCTCTAATGTAAAAATAAAAAGATGGCTATTTTCAAGAATCTAATCACTCTAGTAGACAGAAGTGGAATCTACATCAGATGGAGCTGAAACCTATATACGATTCGCCTTCTTGCAATGGCTCTCTTGTAACAAAACTCAAGAAGAGAAAGACCTAACATGCTCAAAACTGATTTAATGGACATTTGTTCTGTCTCATCCTCTTCAAACCTACTAGTGTGTTCTGACTCTTTGGAGCTATGGTGGGTTCTCTAATGATGGTTGGATTCACAATAAAATAGGGTAGTTCAAGAATGGGGTTGGTTTAGTCAGGTGATGGCTAGCATGCACAATTAACCATTAATTGAGGTACCACTGCAAGAGAAACCTTTTTATTTAGCATGGATGCCTTCTTTTCTTCAGAAGTGCCATTGATTTTTTTAGTTATGGAATCTTCATTTTCTTAGATGATGACCCATATTCGAAATGGAATTAATAGAACAAACCCCCTCTCTATAATAAAAGAAACAGGGGTACAGAGTGAACCCTCCTTACGGTAAGCAGAGAGGTGATCATTTCCCATAACTGAAGTGCACCACCTCTTGGTCTCTAGATGAAAATATGTTGGAAAGAGAAACGAGAGTTGAGAAACCCAAAGAAAACAGGGTTTTATAGAGAGAAACGAGATCCCATACATCATTGGTCCGAGGGAAGTGAGTATCAATGAATTCCCCCCCCCCCCCGACGTACCCCGCCCTTGCTTTTCTTTCTGTGACGAGGAGAGAGGCAAATGAACAAGCCCTCATAAGAAGCTTCCATTTTTCTAGAAGTGGAGAGCTTTGCTGCTCCCTTCTGACCTTCTCACTCTTCTTCTCCAAAAGTCCTTTCCCTCTCCTCTAAAACCCTTGGAAGAGACACCTGCAAAGACCCAACAGTGTTCAGAATTAGTACCCAATCTCGTCGCTAACAATCATAATACCCATAACACTAGCAAAACCAGTTGCCATAACTGGCCTACCAAGACCCAGGCTCTCAAGAAAAGCATGGTCCAAGCCTTGTGCCTAAAGCGTAGGGCTCATAAAAACATTCCATGCATTTTTCGCCCAAGCAAGCCTTTCTCCCAAATTTTTCTCTCTCTTGTATTTTATTCCATCTACCGTGTTTTTTCCCTCCTAGCTCATGCCACGTAGTATTCGGGTCAACCGTTATGTAATATTGAAAGATAGTTTTATGTTTATGAAAAATATAATAGCTAAATATATTTTGTTGTAATATACGTTTTTCTTATTTATATGCAAATACACTAAAAGGATAATTTGCATGTGTGATCTATTAAACTTCTTTATGAGGAATGTGTATCTGATGTGACCAAAAATTGAAATGCCATCTGAGCTTTTACAATATGTATTCTTCCTTATTCTATTTTTCCGATGTATATTTATGTTTATTTGTTGGCAGAGAAATTTTCACGTCATTTGATCATCCATATTCCAAATGTGGCTTTTAAGGACAACTTGCATGTTGGAGCATTTGTGACAGAGGTTGGTGTTTCCTGTGTATCTATGGTCTTTCTTTTATTTATATGAAGTGATATACTGAACTTTATTCGTTTTTAAGTGTCATGCAACTGGCCTTTTTGGGTTGTTGAGTCTTTCCTAGTTTTATGCATGTTAGAACTCAGCATTTAGGGAACAATTTGGAGAATATCCACCATTTACTGCATTTTTTCAGTGACACAATCTATGTACTGGATTTTTTCAATATATCCACTATATACTGGAGATATTCACTTTATACTGGATTTTTGGTGCACGTATGAAAAATTGGGTAAGATACAATGTGTATCATTGCCTGGTTCTCACAATAAAGTGGAATCGGTTGGACAAAGGTCAAGTCCCATATTAGAGAGAAGTGCCCTTAACTAGGTAATCATGCTGCAGAAGCCGTGGCTTGATACTTAGCCTTTGCACTAAATCGTGTCACAAAATACATTTTTTACTTTTTAAGGGCACCAAACTGCTTTCTACAAAAGTGCATGTCTATCAGTGGGTCCAGTCTGCATTAGAGTATCTCACTAAGTCATGAATTATGAAATAACATGAGTCCCTTGCCACTGTGACGTGACTGATATCAGTTCTAATAATTGTCAAATAGATGAGTAGCCAACAAGTCACTAATTTAATCCTGCCTTCTGAAGGAGTAGTAAAAATGAGATCCAATTTAGTGTGACGATCTATAGGCGAGTTTATTAGTTTCAACCCCTTCAGGATTTGGAGGGCGCCACAGTCTGTTGATATCAAATTTATGATGCAGGTATTGCTTGTCTTGGGCAATATCATGAACATAAACTAGAAACCCTACACTTTGCAAGGCATTGTTGAACTTATCAAACCATGCCCTAGAACATTGTTACGACCCATGTGAAGCTTTATGAGGCAAGCAAATTGGACTTTCAGGCGTGGGCTCGGAGGCTATATGCGGATCCTACATACATATTTATTGAATTAAATCATCATGAAGGAAGGTATTCTTGACATCTAGCTATTATGAGGGCCAGTTTTAATTGACTTCAACAGACACTAGGGCATTTATAGAACTCAATTTTTGTAATAGTGCAAATGTTCAATTATAGTCTATACTATGGGCCTGTCTGATAGCTTAGTTTTGTATTAGTGCAAATGTTTAAATTATAGTCTATACCATGGGACTGTCTGTTAGCTTAGCATACCTTTAAATTAATAAAAAAAATTGCAACCATCTACCATTTCAGTACTTTCCTCCAGAAAATTGTTGTTTGAGGGTGCTTTGCTTCACCCTGTAATGTTTCCAAAAGAATGTATCTGCCCTCATGTTTTGTACTCTAAGAATGATAAAAAGTTTATTCTTTTAAGAACTTTTGATTTTCGATAATCAGGTTGAAGTTGAAATTGTAGTTTCGAGTTTTCTGCATTACTTTGGTCAAACTAGTCGAGGAATGGAAATACGCGTCGGATTGCTCATCATGATAAGTTCCTTCTAAGATTATATGAGTTTATCATCCTCATCATGAGAGCGCTTTCCGAACTATTTGGGATTGGTTACACGAATCCCGGTCTAGCATTCTGCTCTATTAGGGCCACACCCCTTGTGAGGTTACAAGTCCCAATATCGTTTCTCACTGCTTCCTACCATGGCCCTTTGGGCCTACCCTCCCTTGCCCTTTTTAAGCCTTCCACTTGAACCTACTCGCACCTCCTACGGATCTCCATGGCCAGCCTACCTTATCTCAACTACATTCATTCTATGGGTATGTTGTTTCTAGACAGCCCAACATTCTGCCCTATGAAGCAAAATTGGTCTCACAGTTGTCCTGTAGAACTCCCCTTCAGCTTCATTGGTATGCGGCGGTCACATAAAACTCCAGTTGCATATCCACTTCGCCCACCCGGCTCTAATTCTATGGGTGACATCTTGCTCAGTGTCTCCATTTTCCAATATTATCGACCCAAGATATCGGAATTGTGCTCCTTTTGGTATTTCTTGGCCATCAATCTTAACTACTTTCTCGTCTCTATTCCTATTATTACTAACCTTGTATTCCATATACTTTGTCTTACTCCAGCTAATTTTAAAACCTTTAGATTCTAGAGCATAACTCCAAAATCTTACTTTGTGTTGATGCCACTTCGGGTCATTGGATTATATGAGTTACGATAAAAAATTAACATCATGAAGTATGTTGTTATCATGCCACTATACCTGATGGTTCTTTTTGTTCCTTTATGTCATTCACTAGTGATATTCACTAAGTATATTAATAAATGTATTGTAATAAACGGTATTTCTTTGCCATGGAGCTGCTTTTGACTCTATTGTCTGCCAATGACATATAAACGAGGCAACCAAGAAAAAGCTTTGTAAATAAATGAGATTATCTTATTTCTTTGTTCTCATTTTCTTGTTAGCTCTGTTCTCGGATTAGTAGCACACGAGATGGAGATTCAAGGCTCAGTTTGCTCTATGTTATGAAAGATGAAAACATTGAATCTCCACAACAGCTTTTCATTGACACTGCTGTATACTCTCGCAATCGTTGTTTCCGTTTAGTGCTGTCTTCAAAGGCAGGGAAGAAGTCTGTTCTCTTGCCCACTGGACGTTTCAAATGCAAGAATCTGGTATGCTTGTGTTTGGCTTTGGCAATATATCGGTTCCTTGTGATCTATATGATTTTGATAGAAATATCTTTTATATTGATTTCTCTTTCTTATTTCAGCTCCAAGTTAGAATGTATGATGTTATAGAGAGTTTATTGTTCATTTTCTTTTTCTGGGATGAATGAATGTGTTTGCACATTTATTGCTAATTTAAATTTTAATAATTGGATAGTTCTTTTTCCTCCCTCTTTCAAGTTCTCACAGATTGAACATTCACATTGGATTAATAATAGTCATTTATTATTAGATTTTTATTTTTATTTTTTATTTTTTGTTTTTCCTGTGATGTCGTTGTAGATATCAGGGATCAATCCCTTAACCTGGTTTTGCATGAACAACACATAGAAGCCAATTGTGCCTCTTGGATATATCAAGTCACTCGTTATGAAGATATTTGTGTAGTAACCTGTAATAAATCTATTGATTGATTTTCTAGTTTGCGTTGTAGGCAAATAATCGTAATAGTCTTTCTGCCCATCCCTATTCGATTGACCAGAATACTATCTTGGGTGCTTGACCCATCACCTTATCTCTCAAATCCTTCCTTCCAAATAAGATCCTGGGCTCAATTGAATGATAAAAATTATGTGTCTCATCTCTAGCTTTAGAAACTTCGCTACCTCTGTTGTCCACTAATGGCTAGTCAAATGCTTTTATGCTCAAGTATGCCTTGATGGTGAGAGAGAGGGAACAAAAAGCATGTTAAAGTAAACAGGAAAAAACACAGACTAAGGGAGAGGAGGAAAGAGATGAACAATGAGAAAGGGAGTGCTCGAGGACATTGGTGGCTTTATTGTTAATCCCTTAAATGGTATATATATATAGGACAATTAAGTTTATTGCAAAGCAATATTCCCAGTTCTTACGATATCTTCACTTCCATTTGTATTTATTTTCTTTCTTCTCCTGTTTGATTCTTCAGGTTTCATGATGTGTGTGTACAGTTTTTTTTCTTTTTTGGAAGAAACCAGTGAACAGACACAAAATCTTAGATCAAGAGTATATGAAGGTTTTTATGTGAAACCATTTGTTTTAGGCTCTCCCTTGTTTTAGTGGTAGAGACCCTGAAATTTCAAACAATGAAGAATCAAATTAAGGACAACGCAAACATCTACACATCCAGTTCTGTAATCTTGTTTACCTTGCAATAGAGGACCAAGTGAACTGCGCACCTTTCCTTAGTGTTCACTTGGCTTGGGAATTTGAGGGAGGCTTGAGTTCAATCCTCTCAAAGTGGATTTTGGCCTCTTGGGTTCTTGGTACTCTCCTAATCCTAGTTTTTTTATGTAGCTGCCTTTGGTTGAGAATTTCATATCTAAGGGTGTGAAACTTAGAATTAAGGTGGTAATCTCCTTAGAGATGGGCTTGATTCAAACAATTCTCTCGCTGGAGGGTTCTCTTCGCTCTTCCTATTAGTCACTCAAAATTCACGGCTATGCTCTCTCACTTACGGTCTAGCCCAAATGTTTAGTTCAAGCCTCTAACCCAAGTGTCTAACTCCCTCAAATGAAGACGGGATGGGGTATTTGTAGACTCAGGCTGAAGTTATGGTTTTACCCTGTTTTTGCATCTTAAGGGCAATTCAGTTTGCATTAGAAGTGAAAATGTCACTCATTTGCCCTTGGGACCTTGGTCTCAACTTATACCATCAATTTCTCCTTTCATCTTGACCCAATGTCTATGGTTTTTATGCTAGATTTGCTCCATGATTAATGGAGAACTGGGCTAAGAACCATTTAGTACAATTCACCCTAAAACTCCTCATATTAATGGAGTTATGGATCAAACAGTGCCCATGGGTCACACTGCATAAGACCTTGTTAGCCACAGTGGGCTTCTATCTGCTCCCAAATCTTAAAGCCAATGGTTTCAAGGGCTATATAGGCTTTTAGGGTATTGAATGAAAGATCATATCTGCTAAGGTTTAGCCCAAAACACTTTATAATTTGGGAGAAATTGAAAAGAGAAGCTTAAAGTTCATGCAGCCTGTTGCGGGCAGTTGTCCTTTATGACTTGATTTGTTCTGCAGTCCGATATATAATCTAGAAATAAACAGCTCTAATATTTATATAGATTTGACAGAGAGTGAGGAATATTCCCTCTAAATTTCAGCTCATTTAACTGTGGGGTTGGGAGAATCATAATTACTAGATTCTGGAGTTCCCTCTTAATTTCAACTCATCTTGCTGTGGTGTTGGGAGAAATCATCGTTACTGGAATCCAGAGCGAGGGAAGCTCTTAGATTGGAAGCAAGAGTGTGGGATCGAGCGATGTTTGAAGATCCGTAGTTTGTGGGAACGAGATGTGTATATCATTTGCTAAAGGGATCGAGAACCCAATATGTAGGGAGTGCGATTTAAATTTGTCCTGGATCGAATAATAAAGTATACGGGATCAGGGTATGTGAAGCTTAGTTTCGAGGCTCCTGAAGATCGCTTCACTTGCGTACTCTAGTTCGGGAACAACTTCCAATACAAGGATTCAATTCCCAGTGCCCTTGAACTTGTTTTCCCTCCTTTGTTTCCTTTTACTTAGATGGCATTGGGCGATATAGTTGACAAGAGGGCAAAGGTCTTCCTTCACTCTCTCTCCTCCTCTCTTCCCTTATATTGTTAATTAATGCTAAAAATTAGAATTTTTATACTCTGACTCTCCTTGTGCTTTCTCCCAAAAAGTGGTGGGCTATGCCATCACTGCTTCACATTCAAATGCTAGCAACCTCTCTCTCTCACTCTCAAGTGGTGAAGGTCTCTATCTCTCTCCCTCTTAGATATACGCACATTGGGAGTTTTGTGTACTATCTTATTCTCTCCAAATTCTCTCATTCTCTTCAAATTCCTCGATGGGGTACATTGTGATCAATCTCTCTCTCTCTTTCCCTTTCTCTCTCCCCCTCCCCCCCCCCACAACAACGAGAGGTGGATAGGACCCAACGAATTAGGCTCAAAGCAGTTGAGACTATCAATTGCCACCTCTTTGCTCGTGGATAATTCTGTAACTCATCTATCCTTACTATCATCTTCTGTCTTCTTCCTTTTCTCTCTCTCTCTCTCTCTCCCTACCTTCTCTCGTCGTCTTTCTTTGAAACTAGTCACAAGTCACGACTCATAAGGTGTGTAAACTGTAAATATAAAACATATAAGAATTCAAGGCCTTGACATAGAGAAAAAGTATATAAAGAAACCATTTAGTTTTGGTACAAGAAGGTCACAAACACTCATCTTTTAGATTTCAAATTGTTTGGTTGTAAGAGTGTCATTGACTAGACTCAAAGTTAAAAATAAAATAAAAAATTCTAACTTCGTGTCACACCCCATGCCATCTAATTTGACATCGAATGGGTGGGAGTAATTGTGACCTCCTTGTAACAAAGATAAATGATCTCATCATGAACAATCCCTTACATAAATCATAGGTCGTCAAAAAAAGAAAAAGAAAGAACCTCCCTAAGTAGGGAGTCTATGTCAAATTGCCTATAGCTCATAGTTTAGGCAAAAGAATTCTCATTCATAACAACTAAAATATATTGGTGATCCACACCTCCATTGTAAATGATCCCCGAGTGTCTTGGTGAACCTTATTCCAATGTAGAAGAAGCTTGGTTCTCTGTTAGTGGAGACTCGATTCTAATTAAACGTGGACCCATGATTTGGATAATAGGGATCTAGATCACATTAACCAGGGATCTAGATCCTAATTTTGTGGATCGAGATCCCTAAAATCAAAAAATGCTTGGGATTGAGATCCCTTGTCCCGGAATGTGGGGTCAAGCTTCTAGCATTGGGGTAACCACCTCTTTGGGAGAAGCCGCTGACTATGGGAGAAATCAAAGAAACAAGGCCCGCAGGTCACCACAATCAGTGTTCTTGCCTTGATTACAACTTTTGGTGCATGGATGCTTTTCCTTTTCGAAATGGGTAGTGTTCATTTGACCTGAAATTTGGGGTTAATCTTGGGATTACCTATACTACCATCCGAGCAAGTTTCATCTCACTTTAAGTTTATTTGCTACCAGTTGGTTTGTCAATCAGACCCCTTCCTAGTTCCACTGTTTGTGTGAGTAGTGACTATGTCAATACTAACCTTTAAATTCCAAGTTCCAGAAGGGAAATGATGTCAGAATGCCATGATATATGGTGGATGGGTCAAAGGGACCTTAGGTTAAACCTCCGCCCATTTTTTGACTTGCTTTGATTCCTCTGCACAGGGCTTTCCTCTGCTCAGGGCTTTGACCGATCTTTCCTATCAGTGGTATCTTCAGTTAAATGCTGTCCTATGATCCAAATCCCTTGATTTTTTTTTGGAGGGGTCCCTCTTGGCATATCTTGAGGACCTTCCAAATCTCATCCCCTTCCGAGGACTTTTCAAGGCCTCATGTTGAATGCTTGCCGCAAGCATTTTGGCTTGTTTCAGATGCCATCTGCTTGTTTGGTTGGTGATCCTGTAGCGGTACATCACCCATACTTAGTTTCCTTGGTAGTTTCTGCCGTTTAAGGGGTTATTGGAAAATGTACAAGGGCAAAGTCTATTCCTGGGCTTTGTGCTGCTGTTGTCAGGAAGACAGCCACCTTTTTCTAGTCTGAATCTCCATACATCTAGACTAGGTTGATGCCTGTTTGGGATGTTTTGATTCAAATTACACTCAGACACTCTTATGTTCATCACAATGATTGACTTCTTGTTGCTTAGTGGATTTGAGGTATCAGAGATTATGATAAATTGTGATAGGGTGGTGCATCTTCTTGAACTGGGGGATCCTGTTGTGTCTTTCTAGGGCCTTCTTATGAAGGACCATTTTGCGAATGAATTCATTTTGCATCTTGCAAATAGACTGTGGACATACACTAAACTTAAGGAATTAGGAATTACTGCTCCTTGTGTATCATGCTTCACTACTTGCAAATTGGTCTGCTTTCCAGTTAATTCAGTTGACAGTCCTTGCTAGGTGTTGTGTTTTAGGCTCTTTATAGAGGTTTGAGCATTAGACTGGTCTTGTCGTGATGTTGGAAGCAATACAAACTTCTGGTAGCCAAGCTGAATTTGGCCAATGCAAAAATGTTCTTCTTCTTGTATGATCAGAGTTAAGTTGTCTGTGGTTTGTAGGTATACTGAGTAAGCGTGTTTCATCCTCATTGATTTGGGACATATACTTGAAGTATTTCATGTACACATTTTGTTAGTTATATACATAGGACAGTCCAATTTGATGCCAAAAAAATTGAATTAGACAACGTGCTCTTTAGGCTGGTTTGTTGATTAGATCTCATTGATTTAATGCATTTTCTAATGAATGAAATGTATTTATTTTGTCAATGTAAGCCAGCCTCTTGGTTATTAAATAAATTTTGTGTTTAGTTTAGGTTTGGAACTACATTGGAAGTGCTCTATTATTTAATGAATTTACACTTGTAGGAAATTTTTGAAAGAAAATCTTCATTATTGACATTTATTAGTTGGGAAACGTTTATATGCTTCCCCTACTGCATAGAAGTTCTATCCTCCCCCTACCATCCAGCCGTCCAATTTTGATCAAGAGAGCCACTCATCGTTTGATCTTAGATCCGACGTCTCAAAGTATTTTATTTTTAGTTTTTTTTATACAAATTGTATGAATATGAAATTTGGTACGTGCCATCTTCTCATTGGGGCGCACCTATAAAAAATTTTAAAAATAATTTTTCGATAAAATATAATGACCAAAATACCCCTTGAAAATTTCAGGGGTATTTTGATCATTTTTTTATACTTTTCACTAGTGCAAGTTTAATAGAGGAATGGACGTCCAAAATTTGGTGTCAAAATGGTTTATAGAAAAAAAAGTAAAAATAAAATAGTGTAGGGACGTGACATTGTGATTGTGGTAATCTTAGCCGTCCATTCAGATTGGACGGTTGGATAAGGGGGAGGATAGAACTTCTATGCTGTAGGGTAAGCATAGAAAGCTTGCCCTTATTAGTTCACTTACATTATTGATGTTTGTTAGTTCACTTGTTTACTTATAGTTGTCATTCGCCTTTCTGCAGAATGAACAAGACATATTCTTGGAATCACTAATTTGTAGAATGGATTTGGATTGTAGAACGATGTTGTGTGATGATTCTCAGGTAATATTTTCATATATTTGTATGATCTTTTGTTTAGTTATAAACTTGTGTTGGCTTCTACTCACCAACTGCTTCTTTCTAGTTTCTCTCAGATTTATTGTTGTCTGAATGGTATTTAGATGGTCATGATAGCTCACTTCCAAGTAATCTAAAAACTTAATTTGTGTTTGCTATTTGTGATAATCAAGGCTTTTATGTAAATCATATCATTCTTTCTAGTTTCTCCCAGATTTTTTTTTGTCTGAATGGTATTTAGATGTTCATGATCGCTCACTACCAAGTAATCTAAAAACTTAATTTGTGTTTGCTATTTGTGATAATCAAGGCTTTTATGTGAATCATATCATTTCTGAGGGCTTGTAAAGAGATTGGTGATGGAGTGCATATGCTGAAGCTGTTCTTCTCATACCATAAGCCTAGATTTTATATACTCAAACACAAGAGAGAAAAATGAAGAGCGAAATGACGATACACTAACTCTATTAATAAGTACGGTTATGGCCTACAAGCAGTCCAAGAGAACCATGTACCATGATGGATATATTCTCCTTGATAAACCCCTTCTGTAGCAACTTTAAACTAGCCTCTGTAACTCCTCATGCTCCTTAGGGCTCTTTGTGTAGACCACTTTATTTGGGACTTTAGAACTAGGGATGAGGTCGATGTGATGTTGGATGTCGCACATAGGAGGTAATTCCATGGGAAGAGCATCTGAAATATGGCATCATTGAACTCCCTCATAAATGGCTCTAGCTTACTAGTAATCAAGCTAATGGGCTTTTGTGAATTGGCACCACAACATACAATATAACCGACTCACCAAATCCCTAATGTACTTTGTAAAAGATAAGAGGTTAGTGTCCCCATCTTCTGATTTTGAAGCACTTCCATCTTAGAGGATTCCTAAATCACTTTAACCCCATCCTTGACAAAGGAGTAAGTGTTTTTGAAACCATCATGTGTGGTACATGTGTCATACTACCATGGTCTTTACAACAATAAATGGCAGTCATCCATGGGCGCTACATCTCCCTATAGTTCATCTTTGTATGCTTTTCCAATAGAAAAAGAAACAAGACATAGTATGAAACTAGTTTCCTCAACGCGTTTTTTGAACCATGCAATTTTATAAAACTTTGGATGTGTTCTGTCTTGAGCTTAAGCTCGTCAACCATCTCTTGAGAAACTACATTTTTGCAATACAATGTGTATGAAATATGTTTGTGCGCAACTAGTCATCTTCCTACACGACCCGAGGCGTAAACATGTTGTGCCGGATCACCAATGCCTCCCCATTATCACTTCTGGGTCCTCTTCATCAACCAGCTTATCGTAGACTTGTTTACCTTCAAAATAGTGCTTGTTGTCATTATCATAAAACTCCTTAAGAAGATTAATGAACTTGCAATTGGGCACTGTGATAAGAGGCGCTCTATGTCGAACACTTGTAGCACTTGATGTTGCTACCAGCACCCCTTTCTGGTCATCCAACTCCCAAAATAACCCCTTTTTGATCCAGGGCACCTTGCTGGTTGGTTGTTCCAACAATGCGAGTTGTCGAATCAGCACTTGCCAAGCTGCCTTTCTTCCAAAATCACCATCATGGGCTGCTGCCTTATTTCCTCCATCATTCGCACCTGCGCCCCACCTGTTTGATGGTTGTTTATGCTGAGTTTCAACCCTCTTTGCAAGGTTGTAGACCTCATCAAGGGTCCAATACCCCTGCAAAACTACCACATCTTGAACTGATTGGCGCTATCCATTCACATACCTAGCAATGGACTACTCTTCCCTTCGATCATATCACTACAGGTAGCCAAAGGGTAAAACGCATCTTTGTATTCATCCACTAACCTATCTCCTTGGCGCAACACATGCATCTTTTGATACAAAGACTGTAAATAATTTTTAGGGAGATATTTTTTCTTTATCTTTTTCTTCATCATCTCCCATGACACAATTTTAGGTTTTCCCATTCTTTCTCGCCTTGCTCTCAGCTGTTCCCACCATACCAAGACACTTTTCTTTAACTGAATGGGAATAATTTTAACCTTTTTATTCTCTGGCACCTCCTTGTAATCAAAGACCCTCTCAATTGTGTTTAACAAGCCTATAAAGTTGTTGGGTTGCGACTTTCCTTCAAAATCAGGAATATCTACTTCGAGATCTATGGGTTTTAAGTGGCATCTATACCTCTGATCATATTCCTCTTCACTTGACTCATCCTGTGGAGCACGATTGTGAATACTCAACATCATCTTGGACGGACAAAACTTCCATCTTGCCTATGGTTGATGCCTGCAAGGTACCTTGTAAGTTCTTGAACTTGTTGCCTCAGATCCTCTATCTCTTGATCCCACTCTTCATGCAGTAGATTCATATGAATGCCCATGCCTGAACTACTTCTTGCTGTCATTGGTTCACTGAGATGACAAACCCTAGGTAGAGAGCCAACAAAACTTGGCTGAAACTATAAAGTTCTAGGCTGATTTGACAAAACTTAGCCTGCAATCAGCAAGCCCTAGACTTGGCTATAAATCTCCAACTTTGTTGTTGAAGAAAACCTAGGCACTTATTCCAATTGATGTAGGAAAGTAGAGAAAAGCGGCAAAAACAATTCAATAAACCATCAATACAGGCCAAATTTGAGTGGATATGGCTTTCCTTGCACAAAGAAGTGGCCCCAAAACCCTAGGTAGGGCTTGTTGTTAGTGTTCACACCATGTCTTTATTGTTCACCCCCCAAAGTGTTATAAACCCTAACACCCCATGCCCTATTATTGTACTATAATGAAGACTTAAACTACCCCCACTTAAAACATTATAAAAATCCACCATTAAGTCCCTTCACTAAAATGAATATATAAAAAATTCTCTAAACTTCCCTTAATTTTAATTCGAACATTGGAAATCACTAAGAGACTGTAGAAAACAACACAAACTAAAAATAAACTCCTCTAAAAAGTTGGCCTTCCCCTCCTGGGTCTCCTTGTGACCCTGGGATGTAGATCATCATAAAGGAGGTCGTTAAAAGATGGACTGATTGGATCAAAAGGCTCATGAGAATTGTCTTGATTAGTTGAAGGACTGTCCGATGTACCAGCAAGAGTCATATGTGTGCACTTTGAGCATAGTTTGAGAGTTCAAACCCTAGTTCCTTACTTTTAACATTGAATGTCAAGAATTTCAGTTTATATTTACATGGATCTAAGACCCTGGATGTTCCATTCTAGGCTTAAGTTTGAGGCTTTGTTCTGATGCCATGCCTGCAGTTTGTTTTATCTTTTTTGTTTTTTGGAATGTTGATGATATCTTTGAATTACTATACCAAAAAATTACAAAATATGTAGTGAGCCCTCACAAAGGGCCCAGTCTTTGAGATCATATACAAAAAATGGTGCTTTACAAGAGCACACTATACACAATTAAAAAACAATAACAAATACCATTGCCAAAAATGTGGAACCAAGCTCAAAAACTAGCTGGTGAGGTTCCACTGCTGAGGTCGGTAGGGGCTCATTCTTTTGCTAGTGCATCTGCACTAGAGTTGGTGAAACTGATTTCCTTTAACATGTTCGAGTGAAACTAATTTCCTTCAATACGTTTAAGGGCTTAACCCTTTCACACGACTTAATAATATACACTGATCAAATTGTCTTCAAGGTTCTACATACAGATAAGGGAAATTTATCAAAACACCAACAAGAGATGAATTATTTGACATTTTACCCAATTGCAACTCATGATTATGTCTTTGATGGGTATTTTGAAATTAAACAAAAAAGATATGGGTAGAATGTTAAATACTTCATCTCTCATGGATATTTGGATAAATTTCCCTGAAATTAATGCATGGTGCATCAAATAACAAAAGTGTCCTTGAGGTATACGCATTTTCATTAACGTTTTCATACTAGTTACTGGACTATTCCTAAGTCCTCGAGGATTATCAGCAACAAAACTAAAGCTGTATCCCCAGAAGAATGGTAGACCTTCAGGAATGTATTCTAATATCTTTTGCTAATAACTGTAGCCGTATTTCATTTTGAGAGAATATCAGGCCCATGTAGCCCAGATATGCTTTATCTCTAGTTTGACCTCATTAAGAAATGAATGCTGTTTTCTTTTGAATATTCGGTGGATCGCGAATAGTTCACGAGAACGAGAAAGATTTATTTTACACATCTCACTCTAGAACATAGGGAGTGAGGTGAAGAACCCTTGTATAGATTTTCCACCTTTGATCATAGCCATTAAATCTTACTGAACTTGATATAAACATACAAGATCTGAGTGTTGATGCTCTCTTTTAAGGAACTATTATACCATTGGCTGCAGTAAACTATGTTAGATTGTACTTCTCAACTCATCCACAGAGTTTGGGATCTAGGTTATAATCTGAGCATTTTCTGGCTTTGATAATGCTTCTTGTATTTTGGTTTAAGATGAACCTTCAACATTATTCCCTTCAAATATCTTGCAATGGAGAAATTCTGAAAGTGAAATGCATCATCTACTCTTACAGAATTTGATATATTGGACTCTTTTGTGCCTAGAATTGCTATGATAGACAAAAATTGGCAAATATAAAGTCCATAGTTCCTAAGTATAACTGTCCATATTGCATAGAACTGAACAATTCTCACACACTAACTTAGCAAATGAAGTTGAACCTGGCACAGAAAATGTCTCTTCGGCACCCTATTTTCTTCTCATGTTTTATTGATGTTCAGCAATTGGATAAGTTTTTTTTTATATTTTATTCGTGATTTCTAGATATTATTTGGGTTTCTTTGAAATGCTTGTATTGGTCTTTTTAATTTTTTAACAACTGGGTCCTAAATGTTTACTCAGGTTAACATTTCTGATATTCCACGAGCAACTATGCCACGCACATGCACAAGTCACATAACAGGGCAGTACTTTTCAGCCGCTTCTCCATTTGCTAAATTGGATGCTTTCATAGAGTCTGTTGCCTGTGTTGGCAATGTTCCAGGTGTGTTTTGTCATGCACATAACTTTTAGTCATCAATTCTCTCATGTCTGTAGGTTTAGAGTTTTTTTTTTTATTGTCTTGTGCATGGTTTTAAAAAATGGATTGGTGCCCTAAATCGTCTTGGGCACCTATTCCCAATTCAAAAATCTCAATTGGCCCGATCGGTGTAGGGATGTAACTAAAATAAATAAATGAGAATTGTTAGGAGTGTTTAATATTTCTGTAAGGATCATATTCATTTCTTTGTACTTCATTCCTTCTGTTATCCAGAGCTAAATGTTTGTACTCATTCTCTGACCACCACCACTACAGCATGCCCCTAAATTAGTGTCAATCTTTATCTTCTTCATCTTCCAATCTAATAAATGATCTGGACCAATGACCTTTATCCACTCAAGTGAAGAGAGGTATACATCCTAACACCCTCAACTTTAGTCTCAAAGTATATATCCACCTATAACTGAGTCAAGTATGCCCTCAACACATGCTGAAAGGCCACCAATCAGTTTTATACTCTCAAGAGCAAAAAGTAACTTAATTGTAGGGGGACATACTGGACTATGACTAAAAGTGGAGGGCTCTATGGATCAATGTCGAACAAGACTAGTAGTTAGGCTCAAGGTTTCAAAAAACACTAGGCGGCTTGCCTGGCGCCCTGCGGTGCAAATACTTAGTTTTTTATTTATATATTTGCTATCCAAATACACATATGCATATATTTGTGTCAAAATTTGTAATTTATTCTATTTGAAATTGAAAATATCGCAAGTTCGCAACATACCTTTTTATATACAAACATATCACATGTCTCAGCCTCTCAGGCAATCAGGTTGAGAATAAATTTATTCAAAATTTTGAACTATACAAAACATTTAAAAATCTAATAGGGTAATGTAAGGTCTCCAACTCTCATATTCTCCATATTCCATATCCATAAGGCATAAAATAAACCATAATAACATCCAAGTCTCCAACGCTCCAAGTCATCAACAAACTGACTTCCAAAACTATAAAAAAACCAGTAAACCACACAACGAAATAGTCCAAAAAGGCAAAAAAATTACAAACCACATAACTAAATAAAAATCGTTCAAATTCCAAATGTCTAAAGCCTAAACCAAGATGGTGCAATAAAGTATTAAAGTTACTTCAAAAGAAGAGAAAAGACAATCAAGACACCAATAAGAATCAGAATCATCATCTTCATTGCTTTCATCTGCATCAGAATTGAGGCCATCATCATCAGAATCATCACCCTCTTCAACATATTCCTCTTCTTCCAGAGATTCTTCTGAATCTGCCTCTTTTTCTCTCCCTCCGTGAAGTACCAGCAGAAGACGTTGCTCGAGTGGCCCTCCTAGGATCACAAGCTTGCCCCGAAGCCTCCTCGACCATTTCCCATGTCAAACCCTCCTCAGGGAAGACCTCCTCAGTACCAGGGTCACTAACTAGCCAATCTGAAGCATTCTTCATGTCTTTCGAAGAGATAGGGTCCTTCTTTGGCTGGTTTTTCTTCTCCTTGAGCCTTTGATTGTCTCTAACAAAAACCAAGTCATTGATCTTCCTTTGCTCAAGCCTATTTCTTTTCTTTGTATGCACAGCTATAAGGAAAAATAATGCATAAGTAACTACTATAGGTCTATGATCTTCTTACCTTTTATGAATCTATATTACAAAATGAATATGAACTTATAAACAAAAAAAGCATAAAAAATTTTATTCCTTTAAAATAGTAAAATACCATCTCAAACGAACTCCAATTGCGCTCACAACTAGAAGGGGTAGATGTCAAACTCAAGATCCGCATAGCCATCTTCTAGAGGTTTGGAGCACTATTCCCATGTTGTCTCCACCATTGGGCTGCAATATGTGGGCAACCTTTATAATTAATTCAAGTATTTAACATTATCAGAACTTGAAAGGAAATTATAAATTTATATTTATATTTTATAAAATAAATGTACATAAGTCAAAAGAATATTACCTGGTTCGTCTTTGTTTCTCTGCCTTAATGCCATATCTTTCCCAAATGACATCAAAGAACACTTGTATGAAATTAGCTCTTCAGTTGATATCTTATCTTGGATATTTGGATCAAGAACTAATTTCTCAAAGCACTCCTTAAAACCATCCATAATTACCCCTTTTGACTCAATATCTCCATCTGCATGAAAGAATTTGGGGTTCAAGTAGTACCCCACTGCATGCAATGGTCTATGGAGCTGCCTATCCCATTTATCATCTTTAATCTCCCAAATTGGGGCATACTTTGCTGCATCATTGCCCAAATTCTCTGCAATCTCATTCTTAGCCCTTTTCATTGCATCATATATAAGCCCATAGAGGGCTTATCAGCATCAACCAAGCGCAAGACCTTCACCAAGGGAAGAAACACTAATATCGCATGCTTCACTCCACGCTAAAAATATTTCGAAAGAATAATATCTCGTGTCTTCTTTCCCTTGGCATCTCTAGACCACTTACACCTACTCCACTCCTCTGAAGCAAACATAGAGACCTTAATGCGATCCTCCTCTTATACATGCTCTGTAGACTAAGGTAGGCAGTGGCAAATCTAGTGACCCCAGGCCTAACTAGCTCTCTCTTTTTTGTAAACTTGCGCATCATGCTAAGGGTAAGTATGTGACTGTATATGAAGATTGTAACCTCTTTAGCCTTAAAAATCATTCCTTTAATAGGAGGCAATTCACCAATTGCTTCAAGCATAAGATCTACGCAATGTGCAGCGCAATGAGTCCAAAATATGCCAGGCCTCTTTTGTCGAAGCAAATGATCTGCAGCTAGATTGGGAGCAGCATTATCTGTGACCACTTGAATTATATGTTCCTCCCCAACCTCCTCAATACCCTTATCAATGAAAGAAAATATGTAATGCGCATCATGAACATCATTGGAAGCATCGATTGAGCGCAAAAAAACTGTACCTGTGGGACAATTTACTAATAAACTCATGTTACTCCTCTTATCACTCCACATAACTGTCATAAAAAAAAACCCAAATTTAGCCCATCCCTCCTTATGAGTCTTGAGATATTCATTAGTATACTCGATTTCTTTCTTTAGTAGTGGCTCTCCAATCTCATAAAGAGTTGGAGCTTTCAAACCTGGACCAAATTGCCCAATTGCTTCCAACATTGTATGGACGCTATTCAAACGAGCAATGTTAAAAGAAATGCCCTCATGGTAAAACCATCGAGCAATATACTGCATGTCCCTGACTCTATCTTCCTTTTTAAACCTATTTCCAATTGTCTCCTGTTTTTTCCCCTTTCCCTTGCCTTTTTCAATCTCAAGGCTAGGTGTAAAAATACTATCTATAGGCCCTCTCGTACAAGCCTTCTTAGACCCAAAAGCCCTCTTGGTCTTAGAGCTCTGAATACCTACCATGGCTACCTCTTCTTCCCCATCTTCATCATCCTCTTCTTCAGTTTCAATATTATTATAAAAAATATGAACCCTTGATTTTAATTCTCCTATATCCTTTTTTTTTTGCAACTTTTTTACTCTTTTCAGCTTCAATGTACTCCAAAATTTCTTTCTTTACAAGATCTGGGACTTTCTTACATGGGGCGACATCACCTCTAATATCGGCAAGATGTTTCTTAAATCGATTTATGCCGGCATTTGAAACATGTCCACAAAAATTACACAATTTTATTTTTGTCATTCTTATCTGGGTTAACACAATATTTCCATCCCGGATCTCCACCCCTAGTAGACCTCGCAGAAGACATCTCAAATTGAAAAAATAAATCTCAAATAAAAATTACAGACTGACATTTTATACCCAATCTCTGATCTTCGATGTTGGTTATCTCAATCAAGCTACGAATCAACTTAAAAGTCTTCTAATACCACCAATAGCACCCTAAAAATAATTTCAATCAGAAAAACAAACTTTTTCAATCCACAAGAAGTACTTTCGATTCTCAGCAATTGCTTTAGATTCTCATAAATAAGTTTAAGATTGAGGGTTTCTTGTTTTTTTTCAGTTTGGGGATGAAAAATAAACCCTTAAACTTCTTTTATACAAACTTGGGGGTCAAAATGACCCCTTTTGCCCTTTTGGGCGAAGTTTAAAAAAAACAATTCGTAAACTATGCTGGGCACCCGCTTAGGTGCCTGCCCAGATACAGCCGCCCGTGTTGGAGCGCCCAAGTCAAAGCATGCGGAAATTTTTTTTTGGGCGCCTAGGCACCTGGCGGTCTGTTTTTTTAAACATTGGTTAAGCTTTTTAGGCAAAGTGTTTGGTCTAGTACTCTTGGTTTTACAACATGACCTTGTCACTATCCTTAAGATGATTATAGGGCATAGTTTTCTTTTTGTTGCTACAATTGATAAGTGGCCTACATTTTTTTGCATGTCAAGAATGCCTTTGCTTCATGTTTCTGCAAGTACCTTTATATTTATCAACCTCCTAACCCTCAACACTCAAAGGGATCCTCAATAAGGTGAGTATGAAAGATATATTATTTATAGGACGGCTGTAAGACCAGCCATGCTTTATGGGACAAAATGTTGGGCTATCATGAAACAACATGTTGATAGAATGAGTGTACCTGAGATGAAGATGTTAAAATGGATGATTGACAATAAAATGAAGGATCAAATTCGAAATGAATACATTAGAGGGAACTTGGGGGTTAGCCCTAATAGGCGATAAAATAAGGGAAAGTAAAGTTAAGTGGTTTGGTCATGTGCACCGTTCAAGTGAAAGACTCCAAATAGGTAAGGGGAAGTCCCATGGATGGGAGTACTGAGAAAATATATGGTGACTTATAGTGGAATTGAGGGTGTGGCCCTTGATAGAGTGGAATGGCAGAACAAAATTTGTGTAGCCAACTCGAAATAGTAGTGATAAGGCTCGAATGATGATGATGATGTTTTCTGCCCCCTTTAAGCGTAATTATTCTTCTTGTTTATTTTGGCGATGTTGTCGTAAGATATTGATGTGCCTTGATACTTCAAATGGCAGCTAAAAAATGTCCTTCCATATGAAAACTATTTGCATATCCCTTTTTTGGTTGACAGTTGAAGAAAAAGGGGTGGGTATGTGAAAAGTGGTCTCTCTTGATGCAAATGTAGATGCATTTGGTATCAGAGAATGAAGAGAGAGATCAATCAGTGGAATATAGCTTTGTACATTGGTATTGATGACGAGAGAAGTTTTATAGACCCTACTTTTGGCTAGGAAGTCAACCTTCTCATTGGCCAATCTCAACACATGCTGAAAGGACACTAGTCTTCCATTGTACAGGTCCTCAATCTCTGCCATAGCCTCAATAATCCTCCAAGTAACTCACCTTCCTTCAATGATCAATGAGAGGACAAGAACAGTCTAAGACTAGGGCCACACATTCAAGATGCTCGCATGGCCAAAATGATAAAGGGGGGTATCTAACAACTTGCTCCATAGTAAGGTGACCTGGATTTCCGAAGGACCTCGTGTTGAAGTTAAGCTTTAAGACACCACATGAGTAGATTTGTTTAACAATAGTGTCATTACCCTAGAGCGACTTGAATGATTTTTGGGAGGGATAGCCTAATGTACATCTCTTTTCACATAATTAACAAGGACAGGCATTATAGCAAACAACAAGCCAGATGGATATATCTTTTAAGCTAAATCATCATCATCATCATCATTTTAGCCTTTTCCCAAGTAATTGGGGTCAACTACATGAATCATGGTTCTCCATTCTGCTCCCTTTTAAGCTAAATGTGAAATTTTATTGTTTGATAGGCGCTCGTGTTATAGAACCTCCTACAGACAGGAAATCTATATGTGTTGTAGTCCAATCTAAAAGATGTCTTTTTGTGTATGTGTATGAAAGAGAGAGAGAGAGAGAGAGAGAGAGAGAGAGAGAGAGAGAGAGAGAGAGAGAGAGAGAGAGAGAGAGGAGAGAGAGAGAGAGAGAGAGAGAGTAGAGTAGTAGTAGTAGTAGTAGTAGTAGTAGTAGTAGTAGTAGTAGTAGTAGTAGTAGTAGTAGTAGTAGTAGTAGTAGTAGTACGTACGTACGTACGTACGTACGTACGTACGTACTACGTAGTACGTACGTACTACGT